GTAGATTGTCCATAAAAGTACGAACTTAGGGAAGTCTATCTTGAAAATTAAATAAATACAATGCACCACAGCTAGGCCTGAGGCCCACCGGCAGCCCTGTTTTGGGTCTGAGCATAAGGCCTCATGCCTAGGCATGGCCTGATCTGTCAGGGCTGATTCTTGCTTGGTTGCTGAAAGCATCTTAGCTTGCGACCCCTGCTGGAAAACTAACAAAAAGCGTGCAATATGGAGAAAAAAAAATTAAAGAAAAGATGCCCACTGGGATCCATTTCCATTATGTTCAAGCTATTCCTGGGAACAATGATGTATTCATTTTTCTGGACCCCATGTGGTAGCACATAACTATTGATAAACTATGGCCCAGTAAATATTATTCTAATGGCCTGAAACAGCTAGGGGCTTAATTCCCTGTGGGTTAGAGGAAGCTCAGAATGCCTCCTGTTGGAGGCAGGCCTGGAGAGGAATTGCAGAGGCTATGTGCATCCGTGGGTTACCATGTCTCCCGACTCGGAAAAGGAGTCTGCTTGGAGATTGTGGATGGCCTCTAGGAACTGGTGAGAAGCCAAAAAGCCAGGATTGGAAACTGAAAAGAAACGAAGGGAACCAAGCTCTAAGGATCATGTCAAGATGGTGCCAAAGGAATGGTTCCACTGGGACCACATCTTGGTACATTGATGCTGCTGCTGACGCCAGCCGCTTGATCCATGACCCACAGTGCTAAATAAACACTCCTTTGTCCTTGTGTCCTTTAACTACTCCTGCAAGATTCCAAGCCCCAGGTGGGGTCATTTAACTGAGTTCAGAGCTAGGAGATATGGACAAGGAGAAAGAGCCTCACCTTGTCCACCAAAACCATCTCCCTAGAACAAGAGTGTAGTGCCCCCTAAATAAGAAGACCTTCGGTGGCTGGGTATCTTCTAAATACTTTGTAGGAGTTCAAGTAGAGATGGAGGGAAAGGGCAAGACAAGCAGTATCTTGGAGTGAAATAAGAACAGACAGATCTGCGTTCCAATCTGGAATCTTTTGTACTTTTAGAAAATTAATGAAGTTTCCTAATCTGCCGATTCCCAATCTTTAAATAGAAATAATGCCATCTGCTCTCTAGGGTTGTTGTGAAAATTCAATTCAATCATTCATTCACTTTTGCAAACACATTTATCAAACATCTAGTAAGTACCAGGATAATTTGGGGACAAAAATATGAAAAACACCTAGAACAGCCAGAGCTCTGTTCTGAGAACAGATTTAGACAAGAGAGACTCACGTAATCCCATGAAAGTAGTGATGTTTAACTGACTCCCCTATCTGCAACTTACATTTTTAGATTATTCAATGTCAAGTCCCTGCCTATAAATAGATTTTCTTAAGATATATGTTATCTAAAAGGTAAAAAAAAAAAACAGAATAAACAAACAAACAAAAAGAAATACTCTAAAAATTAACTACAATACTAAAACAAAACAATCATAATTCTGAGAAGCATCAAAGCCTTGTGCTGGTAGAATTCACATAGAGTGATCAGAAGAAGAAAATGTCAAATTATATGAAATCCTCACTCTCATTTAATATTTAGCATACGTAACCCAGAGATACCCAAACTACAATTAACCTGAAAATTAAAATAGACATAAAATAAAAATGGTGGGAGGACAATTTAGTTAAGAGTTTCATAAGGGTTTTATGATTGTCAAAATGCTGTTCATATATTTTTTCCTTATTTCTCCCAAATATTCCATTAGTCTCTATTTTGCAGAAAAGAAAAAGAAAAAAACAAAACAAAACAAAAAACCTGAGCTCCTGGAGGGAAAAACATTTAGCCAAGGTCATGGGGCAAGAAGTCGGCTCTACAGTGCCTGGAGGTCTCTCTCTTTCCCCTACCAGAAAAAGGCAGTCTCAATAGAAAGCACTAGATCATGTAACCAGGTTGAAGGAAGACAATTACCCCCAGTAGATAAGGAACTACCCTGGTTTTTCCAACTCAGCTGGGAAGTTCCTGCCTTCTATAATGACTGGAAAGTTACTGGATTTCCTGCTGAGCAGCCAGAAAACTACTATTCTCCTGCCACAAGTGTCTCACATGGGGACCTTGGTTTAAGTGCTGGCCCAATACCCAATGCTTGAGCACAACCTTGGCATAGGCTCCATTTAGACATCCACTTATCTATCCCTCCTTCCAAACCCTAGCCTCCACAGAGAGAACAGGACTCCTTCCACACGGTGGTTATGTGTCACCAAGTAAAGATGCCACAGTCCCAGAAAGACAGCGTGCACTATCAAGCAATTTCTACCAGCCAGTGCACCTTCTGGCCTCTTTCTAGTCACCACCAAATTTCAATTCAAAATAAGAAAAGCTTCCACATGGCTTGTCCTTTCAGAGAATGCCTGGGATTTTTTTTTTTTTTTTCCAATAAGAAAGTTCCTTCTTTTGACAATAAAAGTAAAAGCCCCAACTATATTGTGGAATCCCAGTAATGCAAATCCCTCTCCTTTAACAAGGTTACAAAGTGGATGCACTGTGCTAAGGACTGTAGGCTCCATGCTGATCCTATCATCAGCAGAGTCAAGGCCCCCCTGGCCTGTGGAAACTCCTATTTGCTAGTTCAAGGCATCACTTTGTCATCAGCTTCCCCAGTAAATACTTTCCATCTTCAAGCTAGAGTGCATCTTATTATAGCAGCAGCTTCATAGTGGACCTGCAGCCCAGAAACAGCTCAACAAGCTTCGCTCTATGCTGCTGTCCTAATTAACCGCTGATTTAGGAGTGCTTAGTCATGAAGTTGTCCATCCCTGTCAAAGTCTGCTGGAAGAGTTAGATAGGTAGCTGAAGCCTGGAAAGTCTCCTTTTAGAATGGATCTTTTCCTGACTAGGGCAGGAGAAAATCTTATATAACATAATGGTCCATTTCAATATTGTATTTTCTGCAATCCTGTGGTGGGGCTATCTAAGCACTGGAAATACAAAGGGAAGGCTAGTGCAGGGATTTGCAGCTGAAACATTCATCTCCTGGAATTTCAGTAGGTCAGGCTTATTCTAAGTGCACCGACTTTTGCTGGGAAAGCAGAAAGCAAAAATAATTCTGAAAACCAAAGAGAGCGCTTTGAAATGCAGGGAGGCAAAAGTTGGGTTATATCCTCTCCTTAAAAAATAAATATAAAATTCCTGCAATTAATCTTCAAGTGGAATCTGGTAATTGTATCTTAACAAAATGAGGTGATACTTGATTGCAAAGCGAGAACGAACAGCTAAAACTGAAGGAATTTGTCTGTATTCTGGCTGTAGCCGAGGCAGCAGCTGGCCAAACACTGAGTGCCGGAGCTCCTTGGAACTCACCTAAGGACCGATTCCCTGCCCTCCCTGCTGGACCGGTGTCTGGAGGAGCAATCCAGCCCTGGAGCGGTGCAGGAGGAGAGCTTGGTTTGCTAAAGAAGGAGCGGAGCCCTGCACTCCCTCCTTCTCCCACTGGCCGCTCTCCCTGATACTCTTTGGGCTACACTAGGTAGCAAGAAATTGCTTCTGGGAGCGCAGTCTGAAGACAGCGCATTTGGAGTTGCGTCCCCAGGATCCCCCAAAAAGCATCTTGGCTCAAGTTGCGGATAAAAATAGCCTGGGATAACGCTGAGGGAAGGGGAGGAGCGAGTCTCTCACAAGGCAAGGCAAGTCAAGGATACGACTGGTTCTGCAAAGAGCGGGTTAGGGAGGGAGGGGTGCAACTCTTGGCCCAAGAGAAGGCCCTGGGCGTGCAAGGAGGCTCTCATGCCATCTTGGTGGAAGTAGTAAGAGTAAGACCTATAGCGCTGGAAAATAACTGCTGAGCCCAGCACAGCCCTTTGACTATGGTGCCCGTATCATGGCTTTGGCTCCAGCTTCTCCACCTCACCATCCTCCTGCGCTCCAGGTTCGGCCCTTGAAGCCGGCCCTCGGGTTCCTGGACAGCCTGTGCCAGAAGGGGGAGCAGCACCAGGTCAGTCGCCCAGCTGGGAAAGCACACCTGGAGAAGTCAGGCTGGGCCAGTAAGTCCCTGGTTCCCGAGGAGTGGGCTCAGCGCTTCCACGGCGGGTTCGCTCCCCTTATCCCCCTGCCCCCAACCTCCTCCACTATCCATGGTACCCGAAATAGAAACCGAGGCGGAAAAAAAAAGTAAAAAGTAAGCTGAAATATCAAGATCCAGTTATAATTGGTTTCCGTATGATAGGCTACTTACAGTCCGGGCTGTCGCTTCAATCTCTTTCCTCGCGAGCACCCCATCCCTCGGGAGATGCCCCATCGCCTCCTTACTCCAACCGACCGCAAAGGTCAGCTGGACTAAATCGTCCCCACCCAGGATGCCCGGTGGGCTGAGTGACTTGCCGACTGTCAGCCCGCTAGTTCTCCGCCCCAGGTGGTACCCAGGCTTGGCTGAGCGCTGTGCTCCAGCCGCCGCACAGGGTCCTAATGGGAAGCCGCCGGCGCGTAGCGGCGGACTGGAGAGAACCTCCGAATCTGCTAGAGGGGGAAAAATCCAATTCGTTAAGAGTCAGAAACTCCAATTTCTGCTCTTGTAGACCAGTCCTCGAGACTTCCAGAGCTGAGGTGCTAGAGAAGGAGGTGAGGACGATGAGAAGACCCTGTCTCTCCTTGTCTCCTCCCTTTCCACTCCACCTGCTTCAGCCTCGACTCACCTTGGGTTCTGCACTTGCCCCGAGTCCGGGCGCCAGGCGAGGGCACCTGGGTGCCGCTTCCCATATTGGAGGCCCCCGCCCCACGAGCGCTGCACTCACCTGAGCCGCGGTGTGGTCCACCCCGTCGGGCTCCCTAAATCGGCTCCAAGGCTGGGCCATGTGCAGCACCGCCGAGCACCCGCGGCGAGTGGAGTGAATTCCGGGACGCCCAAACGAGGGCGGGGAAGGGGCTCCGACACCCACAGAGAACCGGCGGTGGCGGCGGCTCAAGGCTGCCAGCCCGCGGAGGACCTTGCAGGCGGGCGTTTTGGTGCTCTGTCCTGAAGAGGGGAGGAGCAGGAGGAGGAGCAGGAGCAGGAGGAGGGACGAAGGAGGCCGAGCCCTGAGGGAGAGCGCGTTGGGCAGAGGAGGATCGCGAGCGCCCACTGCTGCCCGGCCGGTTCCGGTGCGGCCCCGAGTCACGCTCGCTGGATGCCAGGAGCCACTCAGCGCTGGGCAGCTCAGCAGGACCCTACCTGGCAGAAGCGTCAGCCGCGGGTCCTGGAGTAGTTGGTCCCGCCTACCCCGTGTTGCGGCTCCTCGGGTTTCTATCCAAGGTGAGGGACCAGCGCTTACAGGAGGGTGGGGCGAGTGGACTGGCAGACTTCGCTGTCGCTGCAAACTTGGAATGTCCTGTCTACTCTCTGACCCCGAGCTTGGAACCCATCTGTTCCCCCACTTCCCAGCTCTGCACGGTCCCCCAAACATGCGCTCCTCCCACTGTGTTCGCACCACGTGTTTCCCTACAGGCAGGTGACCCACCTTAGGCACGGGTGATTGCTGCGCCGCCCGGGAAGCAGGGGGAGCCATTCTCTCCAATTCGCACTGCAGCGGAGCTGGGACAGCAGCGACCGCCTGGGCCAGGAACCGCTCGAGGAACCCACTTCAGAGTGCACCGTGTAGCCACTGAACACACCCTCCCTTTGGTTTCGCGTCAGAACATAGATGCGGACTTGTGAAGAGGGAATGGAGAATTCCGTTCTGCTTTTGCTAGTGTGCTAGGATGGCAAATGTCAGCGCTGAAATTAAGCAAGGTCCCCTCCGCCACCCCCTAGTTCGGAAGCTGAGAGGTTTTGTGTGAGAACCGACCCGCACACAGTAGTTCAATTTAAGATTTGGAGAGCATGAGTTTGGAATCTTGGAGAAACTGGGCTGCCTGGCTACCTAAGCCTAAGCAAGTCATTCTCAAAGGCGGCTCAGCAAAAGTGGTAATTTTTTTTTAATCAAATGCACATCAAAACAATCTTCTTTGCATGAGATTTCAATATCTCTTCCATATCTTAAATACTCCTCGAAGATAAATATTTGGAAGGATTCAAACTTGCCATTTACTTTTTTTTTTTCTTTCTTAATTGATAGTCTTCCAACTAAGGGAAAGTTTTTATAGGGAATGTCTACAGGGAATAAACCCCTTAATTTCTATAAAGATTAGTCTCTGCCATTTTAGAAGGCAAAGCTACATCCAGCGCAGTATTTTCTGGTTGGTAAGACCAGATGTGTCCAAAAGGACTGAAACAAGACTTCCTTTTGAAAAATAAAATTTTTAGGAATTTTAATGACCCTGGCTATGTGAACTTTTAAAAAGTCACTTTAAGGCTGCACTTTGAAAAACCTTAGCATTTAAATTTAACTTAGATGTAGGGGACTGCTTTTATCCTCCACTCTATGAAGCTGTGTAAAGTCATGTATAAGGTTTTTCTGGTCAAATGCCAGTCTAAGATAAATCCCTGTCAATCATGGTATCCTTGTGTTTCTACCTGCAGCCAAGCACAGTGCAAATCATGAGTTCTCCAAAAGAGGCAGAGGTTTTGATAGTCAAAATTGTCATGATGCCTTTTTCTAAAGGTTTCAAAGTGTTATGCCACCCATAATATGAATTTCACAACTCATTTGTGAGACACAAAGAGGGATAACAATGCTTCTATTTACACCGTAGAAGCCAAAGGTAGATTAACTGATCTACTTCATTATCTATCCCAAAAACTTGAAAGAAACTAGAATCCCAGGCTCCAGTTCTGTGTCTGTTAGTTGTTTCCATTTGCAAAAGTGACTCCAGGCCCATCTGACAAGTGACAAGAATTTGAGAACAGGCACTTTAGATATTCTTGTTTAAAAAAAAAAAAATAGCACACATTCATTAATCAATAATGTTCTTATGTTTAGATAAGTGAAAATACAAATGCATTATTTTGTTCTTATTTAGCATCATGTCTCTGTGCAGACATTTACCACCTCCCCTAATTAGTCTTCTCTGAAGGCTCTGGAGGAGAATTACACTTCCTACCCAGGAAGCTAAGCACAACGGCCTACCTCTGCTGTAACAACACCAACATTCTGTGGAAAATATCTGTCTAGGGGCTGGTGCTCCCCAGAAGATGAGAAGTGCCTTCAGCATGGGCACCATGACATCATTCTGTCCCCCCCCCAGACCCTTGTATGATGTCTGAAACATACCTTGCTCTAAAGAAAAAAAAGTCTATAGATTTAATTTCCTTTATGGTGTGATGACTTAGGGTAGATATTTCCCACTCCACAGCCATGATGTGAGAATGGATATCCATGGAAGATCAACGGTCCTTCTTAGTTATGTGACCCAAGACAGTGTCATCAGCTGAAAAATGGGGGAGTGTGATTATTGATCTCTGCATTGCTTTCGTTTAAGCTATTAAAATGTTGATTGAGGAACTAGGATTGTGACTCAGTGGTAAAGCACCTGCCTGGCACGTGTGAGGCACTGGGTTGGATCCTTAGCACCACATACAAATAAATAAACAAAATAAAGGTATTGTATCCATCTACAACTAAAAAAAAATTAAAAATACTGACTGAGCACATAGTATGTATCCAACACTACTGCAGGTACTGGGGGGGAAATGGAAAGCTGAGATGCTACCACTGCCCTAAGGGAGAATAATAAAATCTTGTTAGAAACAAAGACAATGTAGACTCACAGGCCATCTTTGCAAAAACCCCTTGACATTGCTTAAGTTGAAAGCTGCATTAGCAGAAGGGAAGTTTCAAGAGTGAAGTAGAAACCAAAGGAAGTGACCTATGAGTTTGGTCCATCATGGACAGTACCAGCAACTAAGATACAACCAGGGCTCATGTGCAGGGAACTGGGGAAAATGTGTTATGTAAGCTGCACCTCATGTTCTTAAAGCAGCCTTGTTAGAGAGAACTAGGATGTATCCATTTGACAAATGGAAACTGAGGTTGACAGAAGTGAAGCAATTGATTCAGCATGACACAGCAAGAAAGGGTCTCCCTTAACCAATCTTAAAGAACATTAGTCCAGACTTCCCCAATTTTGTAACTAAGAGCGTCCTTATCTTCCTTCCACTAAAAAATAGACTCCCAATCCAGTGCTCCTTATAATTGAGTGGTTTGCTGTTGTTGGTTTTGTTATGTGGTGTTTTTCCTCTCCTGTGCAATGACTGGTGAGGTCAAGAGAAGGAGAGGCAGGGGGAGAAGAAAAGAGTGAGCTTACTTCTCCTGAAGCTGTCTATATAGGACTCACTTCACTCCACCTGCCCAGACTCAGGGGGATTTTACCTGCAAGCCCTGTCTACTGAGTTGCCCTATATACTTATCCTCTCATAATGGCCGTTGGAATCTTTCAGGTTAATAGCATGAATATCGAGGAGTCCAATGGGATTCTTTACAAGCAGAGGAAATTGGGATCAGGTTAAAAATCCAATTTTAATAAACTTTCCAAGTCTTGATTTAGCTGGTTGTGCTAATGGCTCTTACTGCTGAATCACCTTAAAAGTCAAATGTATTTTTAAAAGGTCCTTCTTGTATATATGGGAAGCTTGATGGATATTGCTTAATTGCACATTGTGCATTCCTGTCTTCATTGAAAAAGATCATCTGTAAAACTGAAGAGAGCTGATAGGAAATGCAGCTATCCATAGAACTGGTTGGGTAGAAGGGAAGGCATTGGGTTTGCAAGATAATTTCCACACGTTTTGACCAAAACAAAGAGAGCATGATTATGCTGTGTGAAAATGGTATCCTCAAATAACTCCACTAATTTGATTGTGCTGAGGTCTAGAATTGTTTCTATTTCTTTTGATTTGCTAATTAGCCAGAGCAGTCTGCCTGTGAGAGAGGAAATGAGGGTCAGAGCCATAAAACATGGAGGATTGTCCGTCCTTCCAATTCAGCTCACCCTTCACATTTCCCCCAAAGCAATCATCCCAGATCCCAGTTTACCTACAAACAGTCCCCATATCTATCATCAATGGATTATTTGGTGTTTTTCTTTTTTGAAACATGGTTTCTGTTCTTTGTACGATAGCAGGTTTCCTGTTGTTGTGTGTGGTTACAGGGTTGAGTTTTGACTTGTAGCACTTACACCTCTGTGGGTCGCATCTTTACATAATGCTACGAATTAGATATGGTTTGAATGTCCCCCAAGGGCCCATTTGTCAACCACTCAATTCTCAGGGTAGCAGTAGTGGGAGTTGGTGGAACCTTTAGGAAGTAGGCTTAGTGGGATGTCCTTGGATCATAGGAAGCATGCCCAACAGAGGGGTGTATGTGGTTCTCTGTGAACCCTTGGTAAATCTCCAGAAAGGATGGCTGTGAAAGGTGCAAGCTTAGCCTACCTCCCGCTTTGCTTCCTGGTTCTAGATGTGATGGCTTGCTCCTGATTGCCATCCTGACACTGCCATCCACCATGGGGAGATGCTGCTTAGGCAGAGACCTTGCCAGAACCTGCATTCAGAAAGCCTCTTTACCTATACATTGGCCTGCCTCTAGTATTTTGTTATACTAACAAAAAACTGAGTAACACACATACATACACAAATAAACATTACATTTAATAATCATATTGGCATAAAGATGAATTTTTGTTTAAATGTTTTATTTAACTTCAAATATTACTTTTTTCTTCTGATTTTAAATGAAATTATAATATTTTTAGAGGGCCTGAAAGCACCGTGGGCCCGAGGCACTGAGCCTGTGACTTTTAATGGCAAGCTTGGCTCTGTATAGATAATGACATTGCAGAGCAGGAATGCTTAGTTGATTCAGGTAGAGGCAGTCTGTTAAATACAATTTCATATAAATAGCTTATAGTCCATTTGTTGTGTTGGATAAACAGCTACAGACAACATATTGCTTTTATTTCTGATCTTCTGTCAAACTTCGCCTGGAATTACACACATTAGTGCAATAAAAACGGCAATATTGCAGGCCTGAAGTTCTTCCCTTTGTAAAATTATTAGATCCTGTTGAGTGCTGGAATGCCTTCAGGGCAGTGGACAATTGTGGCACTCTTTTAGATTTTGGTTTCCTGGGACCAAAGCTGGCTGATCTTCTGATGAGCAAGTCTGGATTTTCTTTTAGACCTTATTCGAAGACACTCACTCTCTACAGGGAAACGAAAACAAAAACAAAAATCTTTTCCTCTCCTTGCAGCCCCATCAGTTCATTGAACCAACATTTACCTGGTACCAGCTCGATAGCAGCACCTGGGCTGGGTACCTGGTGATTTGAGGGGAAGAAGGGAAAACAGTTCCCCCTTAAGGAGCTCACAGATAAACATGGA